GCTATACTGTATACAGAAAATAAAAATCACCGTATTATTTGGATAAATTTGTTGTTCATAAACATTTATTTTAAATATATTAAATATCATTTTAATCTAAAATTTCTAAAAATTATTTTTATAACTTTTAGATATATATAAAGGTGAGCGTTGACTGAACATCAAAATTTTTAGAGATATTCGTGATCCGATCAATTTTGTCCGAATAATCAATTATCTGATTCAATTCATAACCACCCAAAATTTTGATATTCAAAATATTTGGTTCATTCGTTAAGTTATATGATCTCCTTTTTTTCAACCTACATAAAATCTCCGCAATGAATCCATCAATACTCTTAAACAATATCTTGAAAAAGCCATTGGCAACCATAAAGGAATGAGAAAAATGATTGTCAAAAATAAATCTTCTCGATATAAGAAACATCAAAGATACTGATCAAGGCATATATAAAAATATATTAATCGGGGTATATGTAAGAAGTTACGTGATCAAGAGTGTTGGATGTATCAATTGAGATGTAGAAAAAGCGATTCGATTATCAGTGTTCAGAGGATTGCGTCGCGGATACGACAACCAACCTGTTATTACGGAGATGACGTGTGTTGTGGAAATGGCTAAAGATAAATATAGGAGAGAAGAATTGCAAATTGTTCATAAGTAAAATAAATAATTAACATATTGGAGAAAATTATACTATTTGAATGTGAAAATTAGTCGTTGAAATTATGTATATGTGGTCGGGTGATAGCATAACGTTTCATGAATTTTATAAGATCTAAATGAAAATTAACCGTTGAAATTATGTATATGTGGTTGGGTGATAGCATGGCATTTCATGAATTTTATAGGATCTGAATTCGAATCTATTTACATCGAGATTATCGCATTGCGTGGGCATTGAAGTTCATACGGACCCTCCAGTTTCCAGAGATTAAACTCTGAATTATCAACAAAAATAAAAATTTAGCTGCCGGTAGAAAACGGCAAGTCCGATTTGTTTCGGTGGCACGAGGAGTGTTTTGTCCTAAATCTACTCTTGGTCCGATGTCCACGTGGGCTCTCAAGTCTCAAGATGTCATGTACTATTTTTAGCCCACCAACTGGACGCTCAAGATATCATTTACTATTTTTAGCCCACCAACTGGACGCTCTATATCATTTACTATCATCTTTGTTTTTTTTTTTTTTTTATGATCTTACACATGTGTACGCTTAAGATGCCGTTTACTATCTTCGTACCCAACTTCGTGTGTACTAATACTGTAAAGGTTTCCTACCTTTTTTTTTTGAACAGACAACTTTTAAGGTTTCCTACCATAACGAGAAAAGACAGTCTAATCAACAACTTTGAATAGTATCCACTCCTTTTAGCTATCTTTCGGAGAAGACTCCAAGAAAATTTACCAGCTTCTCTCGTATCCATTGATTCCATTTCCAAAGTTATACACACAGTTTTATCTCATTTCCATTTGAAGAAGATTACAGAATCATGGTACTATTTTACAAACATTTAATCGTCCAAATCCAATCAATGGAAAGGGTGTGAAAAGTAATGGGAAAGGTCAAAGCAACGTTGCTGAGTAGGAGGGAGACGAATTTAAATCAAAACCGAACTCTTTATCATTACAATAAACGCAAAAAACATGTATGAAATATGAATGATTCCAATTGATCATTAACTATAGAGATGTCTGACATTCATTTCAATATAGTATGAAAATATAAATTCTGAATCACCCACAAAACGACAATTTTGACAATTAAATTCAATACATTTACATCGTGTTACGACGATGACAATACATTTAATTGTAGTTGAGAAAAACGAGCGAACAAAGAAAAGTCGTTAGGATCTAGTCTCAAAGATAAATTACTTATTTAATCGAATTCGCAAAACATTAGTTGAACCGAGACATGCAGCCAAGTCTTTTCAACATTCCAACACAAATCTTATCTCTCCATCTCTCTTTCTCCTGCTAGCTTGTTGACGTTCTCCATGGCGGATGCAGAGAGAAACATCAATGATAGCTTGCTGTTGTTGCCGGCAGAGAGAGTCGAGAAAGGGACATGGAGAGATCTGCGAGAGGGATCATACACCGATGAGCTAAAGCGGATCATCTTCTTCGCGGCTCCTATGGCGGCTGTGGTCATCGCTCAGTTCACGTTACAGATCATCTCAATGGTGATGGTTGGTCACCTTGGAAACCTCGCTCTCGCTAGCGCCTCCTTAGCTTCTTCCTTTTGCAACGTTACTGGCTTCAGCTTCATCGTATGTCTTCTCTTTCCCTCTTAAGTGGCATCCTCTTAACTAGGAGCTGTCCTGGTCCTAGCGATAGCCAGGGCCGACCCTGAGATTTTGGGGACCCTGGATAATTCTTTCGAGGCGAATGTTTCAATAGGCTTGGACCAGGACCGGCCCTGAGGATAGCTAAATAAAACATTATACTTAATAATTGTTTTTTTTTTTTGCGTGTGATGCTAGATAGGAATGTCATGTGCATTAGATACTCTGAGTGGTCAAGCTTATGGAGCTAAGCTATACAGGAAACTAGGTCTTCAGACATACACAGCTATGTTCTGTCTTACACTAGTGTGTTTCCCTCTCTCTATCATCTGGTTCAACATGGAGAAGCTTCTTGTTTTCCTTGGTCAAGACCACTCTATTGCACACGAAGCAGGTAGATATGCTGCATGGCTCATCCCTGGACTCTTCTCTTACGCATTTCTACAGCCTCTCACGCGCTACTTCCAAAACCAGAGCATGATCAGACCTCTTCTCATAACCTCTACTCTTGTGTTCTGTCTCCATGTTCCTTTATGCTGGCTTTTGGTTTACAAGTCAGGGCTTGGCTTTCTTGGTGGTGCCTTGGCTTTGGGTTTTTCAAACTGGTTATATGCTATTCTTCTTGGATCTATTATGTTATTCTCCTCTGCTTGTTCTGAGACACGTGCGCCTCTTTCCATGGAGATATTCAATGGCATTGGAGAGTTCTTTAGATATGCTTTTCCCTCTGCGGCTATGGTTTGGTACTAACGTATTTCTATATGCCTGTCAACTTCTCTATTACCTCCACATAACTTATTTTATTGGTTGCAGCCTAGAGTGGTGGTCATATGAACTCATAATATTACTCTCTGGTCTCTTACCCAACCCGGAACTGGAGACTTCTGTGCTCTCTGTCTGGTAACTCCACATTGCATCTACATTTCATTTTCTTGAATCTGCCAAAACAAAATATATACTCAATCTATGTGCAGTCTCCAAACAATTGCAACAATCTATTCAATACCACTTGCCATCGCCGCTGCAGCAAGGTAAGATATATGGTAATCACCTATGATGTATCATACTTGAGTCATATGTTTTTTAAGTGGATGTTTGCTTGTGCAGCACAAGGATCTCAAACGAACTAGGTGCTGGAAACTATAAAGCAGCACATATTGTGGTCTACGCAGCAACGTCCTTTGCAGTGATGGAATCAGTGGTAGTTAGTCTGACTCTCTTACTCGGCAGGAATGTTTTTGGGTATGTTTTCAGCAGTGACAAGGCAACCGTCGACTATGTTGCAAAGATGGCTCCATTGGTCTCTATCTCTATCATACTAGACAGTTTACAAGGCGTTCTCTCAGGTCCTATTTCTCTACTCAAATACAGATTTGTTGTCAGATAATTGTTTACTCCCTGTGTCTCAACATATGTGCAACTGCAAAGTGCTTCTTGTCTTATAATTTTGCCTATGGATCTCCCAACAGAGGTCCAAGTCGTCATGTACACTCCTATTAAGCCATCTAAAGTTTATACTCTTGTGCCACTCCTAACAATTGTTTAAAATGGTTAGCAGGTATTGCAAGGGGATGTGGATGGCAACACATAGGGGCTTACATCAATTTAGGATCTTTCTATCTCTGGGGGATACCCCTTGCAGCAACTTTAGCCTTCTGGGCTAATCTGAAAGGTGTTGGACTTTGGGTTGGAATACAAACTGGCTCCGTTCTACAAACATTTCTGTTAGCACTTGTCACTGGTTGCACAAACTGGGAAAACCAGGTCCATTTTCTTCTCTTATTGTCCTCTTTTTCTTCATGACTTGTTTCTCTTGTGGAATAGAGATACTCATTTGGATGCCTTGTCTGAACTTTAGGCCATTGAAGCGAGAAAGCGTATGGCTTTGGTGTAAGGGTAACGTAATAAACCATGCAGATAAAGATTAGAGGGGCCATATGTTCATCCGGTTACACCATTGTGGTAGAGCAGATTTGGACTATTGTTGCAATAATACTGCCTCTTTATTCTTTTTTACAGTAATAATGTATCCTTTGTATATTCTTCTGTGCGTGTGAGGATTTTTGATTGTGGAAGGTTTCTTATAAAGTCCTCTGAAATATATTTTCTCCGTCGTCTACTAACTCGCAAACTCTAACCATAAGGTGCAGTACATATACAAGCATCAAGAACAAATACACTAAGATCTCTGACAACTTAATGTGTTGCAAGTATGTCAAAACATTCATTCACAAAACTACACCTTACCTGCTCTTTTGCGTTGGTCCGTCTCAGTTTGTATCTTCTTCCAAAGGCTTTGTTGATGCATAGTATAACTGTAGCTCTGTTTTAGTCCTGAAACAGCCCGTCCACATGCAATCAATTGCAAATAATATTAAAATAAGATTAAAGTGGAGATGATAGTACCTCGCGTTTCTGACGGCGAAGCTCGTTGATCTCATGTCGTAGCTCTTCGGCGGTGTCTCCCATCGTCGCAGCTGCAAAGAAGTTTCAGTTCACTCGAAACCTTTACCATATTATTAGAAGAGACGAATATTTTTAAACCGGTAGTTAGAAGACGGTTAAGACTGTTACATCCGGTAAACCGAACCGAACCCATCTTAACCGAAAACAGCCAATTGTAACATTAATTAATCGCAAACCACCAATAGATAGAATTTTCAAGAGAAATTTCTCCGGCGAAACGTACCAAATCATCAACCGTCATTAACAGAGACTCCATTACCGCCGATTTTATCGATTACTCGATCATACATAATCTCCTTCTCCTTCCTATTCCAAGCATCGATCCAATACCACCACATCTTCCTTCAATCCCGCCATTTCCTAATCCCCCGGCTTAGAAATGAAACCTTAGTTTTCAGCTGATATTACATAGAAGTGTGATTCAACTATGAGCACTCAGAAGCAGGTAGTGACAGTTCGCGACCTGGTAGAGGAAGCTAAGAAACGAATCGTTATACTAGTGATATGCGTCGTCGGACTCTCATACCTCCTCTCCCGTAAGTTTAATCAACACTCTGGACTCTACGATTACCTTCAGTTTCGGTTTCGTGGCAAAATTGATTCTGAATTGAGAATTTAATGAGCTTTAGGGTTTAGGATTTAGGTTCTTTCTGATTTGTTATACGTTTTGCAGTGACGAGTTCATCGGTTTGGATCAACCTCCCTGCATCTGCGTGCTTGATCATCCTCCTTCGTTACTTCGCATTCGATATCGAATTAAAAAGAAAAGCTGCAGTTTACAACAGCAAACCTTCTTCACTGAATGCACCGTCTCTAAATAAGCCTCCAGAGCTTCCTAAAGCAGCTCCACGGTCTGATTGGAGAAGTAAAGTGAACTCACAGGTCGTTGAGGACGCGATGGATCGCTTCACACGTCACCTGGTTTCTGAATGGGTGCTTGATCTTTGGTACTCCCGCATAACACCGGATAAGCAAGGTCCTGAGGAGCTTGTTTTTATTATTAACGATGTTCTTGGAGAACTTTCACGGCGGTTTAGGAACGTTAATCTGATTGATCTCTTGACAAGGTTTGTTCTTTTTTTGAGATGGAGTTTCTCTTACGATTCAGGGAACTAAAACTGTCTGATTGATTCAGGGATCTGATTGATATTATATGTCGTCATGTGGAGCTTTTCCGTGAATGTCAAGCAAAGATTGAGAGAAAACAAAGGAGAAGACTTAGTTTCGAAGACCGAGACTCAGAACTAAGACGTGTGATGGCCACTAATGATAAATTGCACCCTGCGTTATTCTCTCCTGAATCTGAGCATAAGGTTTTTTTTTTGCAGTCTAGAAGTTTTACTACTTTATCAATATCAGGTGGTTATAGTATGCTCTCTTTTTTTTTTGTAGGTTTTGCAGCATATAATGGACAGACTCATTTCACTAACGTTTAGCCCAGAGGATATGCAATGTGCCTTTTTCCATTATACCGTGAGGGAGCTTCTTGCTTGCTGTGTGATGCGACCAGTCATTAATTTAGCTAATCCTCGGTAAGCTATTACCATTTTGGACCAGATTTTGTTCCTCTTATTCACCTCCTTGGTCTACAAATTTCTTCCAGGTTCATTAATGAGAGGATTGAAGCTGTTATGATATCAAGGATAAAGACTAATGACGGATCTAGTGCTGCAAAGGAGACTTCTCAATCTGAAGATTTCTCGGAAGTTTCTCATGATCATTTTTCTGGATATCTGGACCCCTCTGTCGCAGGTGTTGAGCTTGTGCAACTGAAAAAGGAACAGCAAAAAAAGGAAAATGCTTCAGATAAACATCATATAGCAGATTTGGCCAAAGATCCGTTGCTTTCAATGGAAACTCGATCTTCCCGATCGTGGGACTCCCTCCCCTTTGATGATAGTAAAGATCTTCAAGGGCATCGAGGAGGAGAGGGATGGGGTGACGTATTAGAGAAGATGTCACAGAGGAAAACTGAGACCCTTTCTCCCGAGCATCTTGAAAGCGTGTGGGCAAAGGGAAGAAATTATAAAAAGAAGGAAGGTGAGAAAGTTGTTGAGCGGGTGCCCCCGAGATTGTCTATCAAGGAATCGTGCAGCGATGGTGATAATGCACGGCCTAAAAACTTCAACGAAAATACTGTGAATGCAAGAGGATCCAATCAGCATAAGGTAGTAAATATAGACAGTCACGTATCAAGTTATTCCTCTGCTGAAGAGGACGAGGACGAGGAGTCAAAGAGTAGTCATTCTTCTACATCCGAGGATGAGGAAACGGTAACAGGTCTAAACAGTCCTGGGACTCGAGTCTGGGATGGTCGAACGAACAAAAATCCTAGTGTTTCACCGATACACCATCCACTTGAAAATTCTGGTCGTCGTTTCAAACAGACCAGTAAAGGGCATGAACGTTATGAGAAAGCATCTAGGCATCAATCTAGCAGGAAGAGATCCAAACGTTCTGGACACATTCTAGGCGATGATGATAGCGATGATTCTGAAATTGATTCTTTGGCTAGAACATACAGTGGAATCTCTGCAACCTCGTCTGCATCGTACACTTCGGTGTCGGAAAGTGACCTTCGCAGTGCCCCTAGAAGTTCTTTGTTGGTTGATTCCTTCGCCAAATTGAAATGTGAGGTACAGTTAATCATATAGTTAGCTGGAGAAAATAATGTTTCGTATACTGTATCATGTGATAGATAAATGTAGATTCTCTTCGCAGGTTTTGGGTGCCAATATTGTGAAGAGTAGTTCTAAGATATTTGCTGTGTACTCAATTTCTGTCACAGATGAAAGTAATCATAGCTGGTCTATCAAAAGAAGGTGATAGATTATTACTGTTACGGATCTGATGATGGTGCTTTATTTATATTTTTGATATTTTCTTATGTCATCTTTTAGATTTCGACATTTTGAAGAACTTCACCAGCGGCTTAAAGTGTTTCCCGAGTACAATCTTTATTTACCGCCGAAGCATTTCCTATCAACAGGCGTGGACATACCTGTTATGAACGAGAGATGTGTACTACTTGATGACTACCTCAAGGTCAAACGTCATGTCTCTTGTTTCTAGTCTCTGCTGATGCTTTATACATGGTTCTTTTTATACAGATTTTTTTTGTTTGTCTACTGAGTTCTGTTTTTAAGAGTAGGCTGACTGTGAAATAGGGTTTTTGTTTTCATGTTTTGGTAGTTACTTTTGGGTTTTCTTGAGAGCTATGCTGAATCTTTATATGCATATAACATCCCCATGGACTACTACTCTCTATTTTAGATTGTTGTAAAGTCTGGCTTGCTTTGATGTACGGAAGTTTTGTACTTATGTATTTGATCAGCTCACGCAACTAATGCTGCTTGTTCTTATGCTTGAAGCTCTGTGCATAGTTGTTTTTACATGCCTTCTGTTCTTCCACGTTAACTAACATGTGAATAAAAGCTTTGATTTGAATTGATTCCTCAGTTTTCCTTAATCTGCGAATTGTCCTTCTCTACTTTGCTCAGAAGCTTTTGCAGCTACCAAGAATTTCAGGATCAATTGAAATGTGGGACTTCCTTAGTGTGGATTCCCAGGTAGGTTTTCTTCCGCCAACTCAAAGATCACTAGTGCTAACAAATTTAAAATTTGTAAACTGTTGCTGCTGTGCAGACTTATGCGTTCTCAAGTTCTTTCTCTATCATTGAGACGCTGACGGGTGGGTAATTCACAACACAATGGGCTTTTAATTTTTATTAGTTGGCTATTATTTATTGTCACTAGTAAATCGTTTCAGTTAAGCCTGCCCGTAAGTCATCTACAGTTTCTACATATATGGCCAATATGACGGAGGCGACACCAGGCCCTCTTCCTTCGAGAGAAAACCTGAGTTCAGATATTGGAAAATCGGGTCAGCATGTGAGGAATAACGTTACGGTGGGTGATGTGAAGTCAAAAGTGAAAGCTCCTGGAAATGATCATACAAAGACGTCTGATTCAGATGTGAGGAACAACAAAGAAAATGGCGGGCTGAAAAAGGGTACTCAAGCTGATACTATGGCCTTCGCCGGCTTGCCCACAGAGGTATATATTGAACATCCACACCTAGCATATGCCTCGATATTTTGTTCCTGATGATTCTGTCTTTTGCACTCGAGCCATTGCTTGTATGTGTATCTTTTTCTGCTTGTTACAACACGTCGTTCTTGCAGTGGGTTCCTCCAAAGCTAACCTTACCCCTACTAGACTTGGTAGATGTTGTCTTACAGCTCCAGGAGGGTGGGTGGATCAGGTACATCATTTTATATACATTTTTTTCTTTCCCAGTCAAGAAAATAAAGTTGTTTTGATCATCTTCTTTTGACATTTGCAAGGCGGAAAGCTTTTTGGGTTGCCAAACAGATACTTCAGCTTGGGATGGGCGATGCATTAGACGATTGGGTACTTGACAAGATTCGTCTTCTGAGGCGGGGAACTGTAGTTGCTTCTGGAATTCAAAGAGTTGAACAGGTGAGAAACCCTCTTCCTTTTGCACAGTGAGATAGCGGCGGAACAGTGAAAAAAAGTATTGCCTTACAGTGCCACTTATATGATGTCCCTGGCCTGGTTAAATTTCACTCAGTATTGACATTTGAAAGAGATATTTGTTATGACCTCTCAGATACTATGGCCGGATGGGATATTTATGACAAAACATCCAAAAAGGCAGCAACAATCCAGTACCTCTGACGAGGAGCAGCAACAAGAAGCAGAGAGACGAGCCAAGTTTGTTTATGAATTGATGATCGGTAATGATCTTTTTCTCCATCTGATACTTCTTTAAATCAATGATATCTAAGCTTTGTTGAATTAACATAAGTGTTTGAATATAACCCTGAGCGCACAGAAAAAGCTCCAGCAACTATAGTGAGCCTTGTGGGTCAAAGCGAGTACAAACAATGTGCGGAAGACCTCTACTTCTTCCTTCAGGTAAATATTCCTCCAGCTTTGTCGTGATTTAGGTTGTGAGAGCTCAAGCTCAAGCTCAAGCTCAAGTATGTGGTTTGATTGTTTAAAACCTTGTTGTTTCAGTCATCAGTGTGTCTAAAGCAATTGGCATATGACCTTCTGGAGCTGTTGCTACTCTCCGCGTTTCCGGAAATGGAGAAGGCTTTCAAACAGTTGCATGACGAAAAACACCTCTTTGGTCAATATACATCACCACCAAACTGATACATAAATTGTGCTTTTGTAACAACTCTGCATATTACATGGAGTTTTGCTAGATTTGTGTAAACAGTAACAGAGCAGGCAGGCATTTCAAAGAATTAATCATATACCATCAAAAAAAGTCAGAAGTAAACAAGTGACAAAAGTTTTGCCGCAAAAACTCAAACAGAATCCTTTCCAGTGAACAAACTGCAGCCTTGTAAGCTTAATGGGCTTGGTTCTGCTTAGTGGTGGCAACAATGATACGTAGGGGACCATTTTGAACATTTGCTTATCAATGCGATGACAGTTTCTTACCAATAAAAGTGGACACATATCAAGATAACACCTTATTTAATTCTCGACTCTTGACATATCACATCAGCTTTCTTCAGCTACTACATGCCATTGAATGAATGTTATTGTTTGGTTTTGAGTGAAATAAATATGGCTATTGTCCAAAAGGAACGACATGAGAGACAAAATAAAAAACAAGAGCTAAGATGATGAAACCCACAGCGAAATCAATTGAGAGAGTTGGTCGGTTCTTAAGGAAGAGCCTTGGGAGCATCAAGTCCACTATCTGCTTTGGTAAATACCACAACTTACCTAACAACAACACTCCACTCTTGAGCCCCTTCTCATGCAGTCTTCACCGTAGCTGTCCACAAGATTCCCAAACTGAAGAAACCTACAGCGTTATCTCTTGTGAGAGCACGGCTGTTGCAGAAACCAGAGATGAGAGTCTCATCAACAAAAACCAACAGAACAAGAAACCGAAGAAGAAGAAGGTTGCAAAGCCATTGGAGGAAGCTAAGAGGAGAGGTGACATGTTGGCGCAAAAGATGAAAGATTACAACATGGTGGATCTCAGAGACGTGGAGCATGCTTCTGATGTACAGGAAGCGCTTAGATGCTATTCAAGCATTAGAAGCCCTGTGTATCTTGATATTGTTGATAACTTCTTCATTGACATGTACTACGAGTTCTCTGATCCGCTCACTACTTCCAGTATCAAGGGTACAAGAAGAAAAGCTGGCTCCTTCAGGCTCTAAGTCCCCTCTCGATCAGCTTACTAGCTTTCAGGCTAGGGTGAAGTTTCTCTCGTTTAGAGTATCCACTTTCCTAAGACATGATGTTGTCCATTACGCAGCTCAAAATTTTCTGTTACATCCTTGTATAAAGAAACCTGCACCTTCAGTTACTTGTTACGGCCTCATCTTATAGGGTCTTATGTTATTATCAATGCAACATATATTTGTCTTCAAGTTAATGATAAACAACAGCTTCTAAGATTGGACCAAACTGAATCTTGAATCAGGAGAACTATGGCATCACTTGGTTTTAAAATAGAAAACATCTTCTTTTCTTTTCAAATGAAAAAGTGGCGAAAGCAAACATATGTTATGGGATAGACAAAGTCACTCTTTTACAGACATGATAGGAAGTTACACAACATTATAAGTTGATAAACTTGTACTGTCAAAGACGGGCTTCATGGATACAGAACGGGATCATTTCTTGCCACTCTTCTTAAGACCAGAGCCTCCAAAAGATCCTTTCTGCGATGCCTTGGCTCTTAGTTCTTTGAGTGCCTGTTTTACCATTCCCGATTCAAAAAATAAAATGGGTCAGCCTTCAAATAACAAAGATCCATGTCAGTCCTCATGCGAAAGAGAGGCTAAAAAAGTATTTTGGCATCATTGGGTGGGAACAAAGTGAAGTAAGCATCTTTATTTTGGCATATCATTGGGTGGGAACAAAGTGAATTAAGCATCTTTATCGCTACGGGTCACGTTTTCATCAAACAATAATTGAAAAAAGCGTCCCAACCAATACCATTTCCCGAATTTTATTAGAAAGGCACCGTAATGGTTATCTAAACCAGCAACCAATCAACAAACTGACCCCGTATAATGTCATTACTAGTGACTAGTGCTCACATCAAGGTGACCAAACTGACAAAGGGGCACATTCTAGTCTTTTAGAAAAGACATCTCCCAAAAGTAATGGCTCTCTCTATTGTAGAACATACAGTCTTTGCTTGAATTAAAGGGAGCCAAAAAAAAAGAAGTCTAACTAGATGCAAAACTTAACATGACCAAGGTGGGGAACAAACCTTTTCCTCGTCTTTCTTCTTCTGAAGGTTGGCCATATCGTGCTGCAGTAACGCCCAATCAAAAACATTCAAGAATATTAGAAAACGTGTAAAAAAGAATGTGTTAAAACATTGATATACGTAGAGTCAATCAACCTCATCGTATTCCTTCTTATCAGCTTTAGGCTGCTTCAAAGGTTTAGCCTTTCCTCCTGATTTAAAAAAAAACGATTATGAAGATCGCAAACGAATCAATGATAACGAATCGAATATCATAAGAAGACATGATTGATTTACCTTGCTTGGACGACATGACTGGATTTCTGTAGAGCTAGGGTTTGATGCTGATCTGAGAATAATTGGGGGAAAAGCAATTGTTGAGTTTCAGACGACGGACTTGACTTGTCTGATTTATATTGAGTTCGTAGTAACGACGCAACCCACTAAATGGGCTCAAATATATTTCGACCCAATAAAAAGCCCATTAAATATTTCGTGTAGAGATGTGTTTTAAAAGGCGAGCGTTCCGTGTCGAATGATGTTGGAAACCTTTACAGAAGAAGATGTGAATTTTTTTTTCTCTTCCTATCAAACCTATTTACAAACCAACTAGTAATGCTGATCTTTGGTATGTTCAAATTGACTGTTTATGGTTAGGACGACCGTTTAGGAGTATTCCGAGAAATCCTGTGCTGTCACTAAAGGAAATTTATTTCATGGAAGTTGTTAAAAGGTTTTTGGCTATAATTAGTATTTGAAAGCTTGAGCAGAAACAAGGAAGTTTATAGTTATTCATGAGACTGTATCAGGATCTAAGCCATCAATACAATCAAAAGGTAAATAGTGATAGTTTACTTTCACTTAGAAAAAAATGGGTTCATATATTAAAACTATTGATGATTTCTAAAAGATAGAAAATTAAATTAAAACCTCAAAGATTGTCACAATGTTTGGTTTTTAAGCCAAATCCTTGGTGCACAAGACAGCTTCCAAGGTTAAACGAGGAACGGAGATCCTATAAATTGTTCAATTCCTTCACTTCTTTGTCAAATAAGGAATCAGGTGAGACGGTGCTGCAGGGGATAGGCCAGATTTTCTCTTGTATTCTTTGCATCCTTAACATAACTTTAAGGTAGCATTTAGATATCTCTACAACCATTACGTATCTCTCTAGAATTTACAAGCATAACTTGAAAAGAATATATTAAAGTAGATAATTAGACACAGCATGTATATGAATCTTATTATTGACATGCAATTTTATTACTTTCCACAATAAAGAACAGGTTAGATAACTTTTTATTTGTTAGTGAATAATTCATTAAAGATTAGGTTAGATAACTACCATTCAAAGAAAAGATAACTACCATTCCATTGTACCTAACTATCTAACATTTTACTAATGACCAATAGGACTCTCTAACACTTCAAAAGACTTGTAGGTAACAACTTGATATTATATAAACCAAGTACACAACATATATGTTGCAATTACATGAAAAGCTCAAAACCAATATGCCTCCTCCTCATCGCCATCCTCCACCACCGCATCATGAGCCTCCTCCTCCTCCACCACCTTTCTACCTGCACCCACCGCCACCAAGACAACCGCATCCTGAGCCTATCCCTCCTCCTCCACATGGTCATCATTCACCTATCTTAGCTATCTTCCACCCACCACCACCAAGACCACCGCATCCAGGGCCTCTCCCTCCTCCTCCTCCACCGCATCCAGGGCCTCTCCCTCCTCCTCCAGGACCTCCACCTCCCGCAGCTATCTTGTTTCCAAGACCTTTCAGTCCGCAGCATCCACCTGGACCACCATATTAATTAATAGCCATGCATAACTTCTTCCTCTATTTAGAAAATATCTATTGTTGGTTTATGGGAGACGTGGTCTTTAACTAGAGTCAGTCGCAATAAGCTTCTGTTGTATAGAATTAAGTGCTATTTAACTAGTCTAGAGTCTTGTTTCCAAGTTGTTAAAGTCCTCCGAAAAAAAGTAGGAGGCAGTTGTTTTTATGTTAAAAGGGTATTTAAGAGCCGGCTAATCAAATAAGAATAAGCTAATATACTTTTCATTCTCATCATCTCATCATCTCATTCTTAGCTTTGTTACAACATCTTTCCGTTTCTGTAACATAACAATACATGATCATGAGACTGAAACTGAATCAGGATCAAAAGGCAAATAGTGCTAGTTTGCTTTCACGTAGAAAAAATGGGTTCAGACATCAAAACTAATGAAACGAATCTAAAAAAAAAAGGAAACGGAGTTTAAAAAAAAACCCTCAAGATTATCACAACGTTTGTTTTTGAAGCCAATCCTTGGTGCACAAGAGAGCTTCCAAGGTTACACGAGGAAGAGAGGTCCTGTAATTGTCCATCTGCTTCACTTCCGTGTCAAACACGGAATCAGGTGAGACGGTGCTGCAAGGGATAGGGAGTATATCAGCAGCTATCTTATAGAGTGTAGGGTAGTTATATCTGTTGAGCCTCCACCACCTTAGAACTTCAAAGTCTTCTTTCCCCAAAACCAACGTTTCACCTAGGTATCGGTCTAGCTCTGTGAGGAAAATCTCAAAGTCTGACAACGAGTCTCCTATTGTCACAATGAGAGTAGACCCTTCCTGGAGAAGCACATCATCTGCTAGTGGCAGTGCTTGAGATTCATTACCAAGCTCATGCTTCTCTACCTTATGCTGTCCCTCATGTTGATGTGACTCTGTGGTTTGCTTGTCTTGTAGGACGTCAGGCTCTTGAGCGACCTCCACATTAGCATCCATAAGGTTTTGTTCACTGTAGCTAAGGTACAGATCATGAACGGCATCACTAACAGTCTTGATCCATTTCTCAGCATCTTCACCATACAACTCAGTGAAGTTAACCTTAATCATATGCATCTTGCACCGAGGATCCATGACCACAGCAACCGCCAAAACCAAGAAACATCCTCTCCAGTACAGATCAAATCTCTCCCACAACGAGTTTGCAAGGTTTCTAACATCCGTGTCTTCTTCACACATTGCTGCATGGCTCATCTCTAGCTGAAGTCTAATCATCTCATGGTACAACTCGTTTGCTGTCAGATCCTTTGGCCTTGTCAAGACACTACCCGCTTGGAAAAGAACCTTCAAGCAAGAGCAGAGTCCATCTATCTTTCTCCAATCTTGAGGAGATATTGATGCTTTGTAATCAGGATAACAAGTTTCCAAACAAGACAAGAGTTGTCTGTGTTCATAACCAGCCAACAACATGTTGTAACTTGTGTCCCATTTGGCTTTGTTGTCAATATTAAGATCTTTGTACTGAGCATCATCATCGGTTGGAAACAGTTTCTTCAGCCCATCAAATTTCTCTCCACAAGTTTCATTTGTCTTAATAAACTTGATGCTGTCTCTGACTTTCTTTATCTGTTCTTGAAACTGCTCAGATGAAAGTGCTTCTTGAGCCATACTGCTTAAGACACGAGCATAGCATTTCCACATCAATAACTGACCATTCAACAGATGCTGATTCTTAACAGACAAGAAGCCTCTGAGATTATCAATGCATGTTTTGTTTACTAATGTGTTGCTGACACTGATGCTTGAAACCTTCCCTTCTAGTTTCCATTCAGACAAACAAGCTTTGAGAGGTTGGTTCAACGCAAGATCTGAATCAGGAGAAGCCACAACAGCAACATTCAGAAGGAGATGAGTCAAACTCCAGTCCTCTTCTACAAAGTGTCCAGAAACAAAGGCGTAACCCACTGATTGCTTTGAAGACCACAAGTCTACTGTAAGGTTAACACCTCCAGGAATCTTTGCAATGATGTCTGAAAGTTTCTGCTTTTGGGACAAGAACATTAAGACACAATCATCATGAATGGTTTCGAACCTTGGCATAGTGAATTGGGGACGAATAGACTTCAAGAAACCAGCAAAATGGTCGACCATATGAAGAGGGTAATCATGCATGATGATCATCTTTGTCATCTCATGGCTGCAATGATCTTGATCTAGAGTAACATTAGCAGAAGAACTCTTACGTTTCTTGGGACAAATACCAAACTCCATGTGACACTTAAGATGTCTGGCTCGACTAGTTATGTAAGCATAGGCTTTGTTGAAGTGATCCCACACCTTAGAAGCTTGATTTGGTTTCTGTTACAAGAACAAAGATGATTCAAATATATTTTTGTATATATCAAAAGAAACCATTATTGAAACAATGGTAACTGATACACAAAAAGTAATGTCGATGCTAGAAATCAGGGAATGATTAGAATCTCAACAGTTTCTTTTTATGTAACCTTCATTAACGTTTTAAAACTTTAACAAATTGGTAAAAAAACATACAGTGAAAGAAACTCATTTAGTGTTAGAAAAAGGTTATAGAAAATTTACTGCTTGTTGTACTGAGGAGACCCAAAAGGCATCTGCCAAAAGTGTCACCTGAAGGTGTTTCAAATTGGTGGTAAATACTAGTAAATACTAAGAGCATTTATTTAACTGGAAAATTGCATAAAAAATCATGAAATTGGCAAAAGTTTACACTTTAAACCTTGAGCCTCAACTGCTAACACTTTAAACAATGAAACTTGTAACAATAACATATTAAACATCGAACTAACTTACTTGTTGTACACGTAAAAATTGTGACCTTTTACTGTTCACTAGCGGGTAAAAAATGATGATGTGGCTGTTTACTTAAAAAAATAATAATAAAAACAAAAAAAAATTAGATAAAAAAATAAATAAAATTAAAAATTGATATAAATTCAGGAAAAATAAAGAAAATAAATAAATTCAGCAACTAAAAAAATAAAAATAAATTTATAAATTCAAAAGTTTATAGTAAAAATAAATAGTAAAAATCGATTAAAAGTAACAAAAGAGTAAAAGTAAAAAAAAATAGAAATCAAAAAATTGTAAAAATCGGTAAAAATTAGAAAACAGGAAATTTATAAAAAATTGGAAAAATAAAACTTTAAAAATAAAATTAAAATTAAAAAAATTCAAAAAGATCAATAAAAATTAGGAAAATTTAATAAAATCAAGGAAAATAAAAATTCAAAAATTCAAAAAAATAAAATGCTGAAATTGAAAACTAATAAATATCAAGAAAAAATAAATTTATGAATTCAAGAAAATAATAATAATAAAAAAAATAAATTATACAAATTGATTAAAAAATAAGAAAAAAATTGGAAAAAAAAGAAAACCATAAAAGTGGAAAAATTGGCAAAAACCCATGAAATTGACAAAAGTTTTGAATCCAAATCTCTAGGAGAAGGATCTGAACCCGGACATCTGAACGCTTATATGTCTACCTGAACACCCAAGAGGTTTGGGTCAAGTACTTTTCATTTTCAATTTTAATATTTTGATATTTTTATTTGTTTTCCAGCTTTTTATAACTTCCTGTTTTCTACTTTTTTATCGATTTTTACACTTTTTAAATTTTTTTTTCTTTTTATTATTTTTACTATTTTGTTAGTTTTAATCGATTTTTACTATTTATTTTTATTTTTATTATAAACTTTTAAATTTACAAATTTATTTTTATTTTGTAAAATTTCTGAATTTTATTTATTTTCTTATTTTTTCTGAATTTATATCAATTTTTTTTTAATATTTTTTTTTTAAATAAATCGCCACATCACCAATTTTTACCCACTAGTGAACAGTATCAGGTCACAATTTTTACGTGTGCAAAAAGTAAGTTAGTTCGATGTTTAATATGTTATTGTTATAAGTTTCATTGTTTAAAGTGTTAATAGCTGGACCACTTCCATAGGTTCTTTCTTGTCTGCCACGACTTCTCCCTCCTTGTTATCCACTTCAGAGGTCTCCACATCCATAGGCTCCTTAGCATCAGTCTTTTCACCCTCCTTGTTCTCCTTCTCAGCCTTTGCAATTTCTGCTTGCCCCTCATCCTTCTCACCCTCTTTGTTCTCCTTCACAGCATACTCTCCATTCTCCGCCTCTCCCTTCTTGTCAGCCTCCACATTCTCCTTAGCAACAGCCACAGCTTCTTGTGCCTCTTCGTCTTTCTCCTCAACAACAGCAGCCACTTTAGTGCAACCTTTACTGAGAGAAGAGCGTCTTTTCTTCACGGGAGGCTCTTTGTCATCAGGAGTGGGCGTTGTAGCCTTCATCTTTTGACTGATCCTTGCAGATCTCCTTGGAGTCTCCCCATTAGACCAATCAAAGTCAGTGATGTCCGGGTTCCCCGGATGAGCCTTGAGGTACTTCTCAAGCTGCTTGGGTGACTTGATCTTTTCACNCATAAGCGTTAAACTACAATATACCTACATGGATTTAACATAAGAGATCAAAACCAATCTCGAAACTAGTTATTACATTAAATTTCCCAAATCGAACATAAACCCATAAGAACACAAAGGAAACTTACTCAAAAGGGAAAGCAAATCAGACAAAACAATACCCTTTTTACACAGACATCAATTTGTAAAGAAATTAAAAAATAATTACAGCAGAACATTTTTTTTTAAAGAGGGAAGAACATTTCAATTTTAATATTTTGATATTTGAAGTTTAATTTGTTTTCCAGCTTTTTATAACTTCCTATTTTCTATTTTTTTATCGATTTTTACACTTTTTTTAAATTTTTTTTCTTTTTATTATTTTACTATTTTGTTAGTTTTAATCGATTTTTACTATTTATTTTTATTTTTATTATAAACTTTTAAATTTATAAATTTATTTTTATTTTGTAAAATTTCTGAATTTTATTTATTTTCTAATTTTTTCTGAATTTATATCAATTTTTTATCTAATTTTTTTTTTAAATAAATCGCCACATCACCAATTTTTACCCACTAGTGAACAGTTTCAGGTCACAATTTTTACGTGTGCAACAAGTAAGTTAGTTCGATGTTTAATATGTTATTGTTATAAGTTTCATATTTGTATACTATCTTAATACATCAAGTATTTTAAAATGGAAGTATATTCCAAAAGAAGATACCGTAATACCATTTGAGAAAAATACATCAACAACACCCGCAAATGATTTTTTTTTGTTTGTAAAAACACCCGTCAAATGTTCCTATAATGATAATTATAAGTTTTGGCACTACATCAACAAAAGCTTTAAAAATTTCTTACGTTCAGTGTCGTGGCCAACAAAAGTCCAGAAAGTTATAACGTATATCTCTGATCAGCTACTCATCCGAGGAAAAATAAAGAAAATAAATAAATTCAGCAATTAAAAAAATAAAAATAAATTTATAAATTCAAAAGTTTATAGTAAAAGTAAATAGTAAAAATCGATTAAAAGTAACAAAAGAGTAAAAGTAAAAAAAAAATAGAAATCAAAAAAATTGTAAAAATCGGTAAAAATTAGAAAACAGGAAATTTATAAAAATTTGGAAAAATAAAACTTTAAAAATAAAATTAAAATTAAAAAAATTCAAAAAGATCGATAAAAATTAGGAAAATTTAATAAAATCAAGGAAAATAAAAATTCAAAAATTCAAAAAAATAAAATGCTGAAATTGAAAACTAATAAATATCAAGAAAAAATAAATTTATGTATTCAAGAAAATAATAATAATAACAAAAATAAATTATACAAATTGATTAAAAATTAAGAAAAAATCTGAAAAAAAAAGAAAACCATAAAAGTGGAAAAATTGGCAAAAACCCATGAAATTGACAAAAGTTTTGAATCCAAATCTCTAGGAGAAGGATCTGAACCCGGACATCTGAACGCTTATATGTCTACCTAAACACCCAAGAGGTTTGGGTCAAGTACTTTTCATTTTCAATTTTAATATTTTGATATTTTTATTTGTTTTCCAGCTTTTTATAACTTCATATTTTCTATTTTTTCATCGATTTTTACACTTTTTTTATTTTATTTTTCTTTTATTATTTTTACTATTTTGTTAGTTTTAATCGATTTTTACTATTTATTTTTATTATAAACTTTTAAATTTATAAATTTATTTTTAGTTTGTAAAATTTCTGAATTTTATTTATTTTCTTATTTTTTCTGAATTTATATCAATTTTTTTTTAAAAATAAATCGCCACATCACCAATTTTTACCCACTAGTGAACAGTATCAGGTCACAATTTTAATAGATCTTCAACCTTGGAAGGTTCCTCAGTCTTCTTCTCCACCTTAGAGGTATCCACTTCCATAGGTTCTTTCTTGTCTGCCACGACTTCTCCCTCCTTGTTATCCACTTCAGAGGTCTCCACATCCATAGGCTCCTTAGCATCAGTCTTCTCACCCTCCTTGTTCTCCTTCTCAGCCTCTGCAATTTCTGCTTGCCCCTCATCCTTCTCACCCTCTTTGTTCTCCTTCACAGCAGACTCTCCATTCTCCGCCTCTCCCTTCTTGTCAGCCTCCACATTCTCCTTAGCAACAGCCACATCTTCTTGTGCCTCTTCGTCTTTCTCCTCAACAACAGCAGCCACTTTAGTGCAACCCTTACTGAGAGAAGAGCGTCTTTTCTTCACGGGAGGCTCTTTGTCATCAGGAGTGGGCGTTGTAGCCTTCATCTTTTGACTGATCCTTGCAGATCTCCTTGGAGTCTCCCCATTAGACCAATCAAAGTCAGTGATGTCTGGGTTCCCCGGATGAGCCTTGAGGTACTTCTCAAGCTGCTTGGGTGACTTGATCTTTTCACCCGTTGGCGCTTCAAACATCACTTTTTGAATCTTCGTTGCAGAACCAGTTTTCGTCTGATAAAACTGCAAACAAAAAACAAACAAA